ACCTCAATCCCTTGCCCTGAGCCTGTTCCTACACACTACACCTTGCACTCCCTCCCACACCCCAACCCTGCATACAATTTCTCCACCCAGATGTGGCCCTCAGCCCAAAAGGTTTTCCCACCCCTGCCATAAATTATGGTATGTTCACATTATAACTTAAGCATTGACACCTGGCAAAAAACTTCTAAAGTGGGCAAATATTTGGATTTTCTACCAATATTGGTTTTAGTTATGCACACACGATAAAGGAGAGAAAGGTGCAAACAGCTTTAGTAGGGCAGAGAAGCTGTCATTACCTTATGCAAGCCTCCCCAACTCCAAAAATATACTGAACCCCCTGCACACCAGTGGCCGACTATCTTCTGCAGAACGCTAGAGCTAGTTGAGATCTGGGAGCAGTTTACAACCTTTTGCTCAAGTCTCTCCTCACTTAGCCCATACCTAGAATTCTGAGATGCTCCACCACATACTTCTCTTAAGGCTGTTTTGCAGTATCATGGTTCATGCTGTCTCTATTCTGGAAGGGTCTCCCTCCATTAAGGACAGCATCGTGGGAACAGGCACAAGAAATTCACTGAACTCTTTGTGGAAGTCAAAAAGGGGGAGGGGAAGAAGTGTCATGTATAGATGCACAAGAGCAGGGGGCAACAATGTTTTGTTTTATATAGCAAGCTAACAGTAGGCAGATTTCTTACACAGAAACTTAGTCAATTATACATGGAACCCTGGTGTAAACTTCTTCAGCATGATTTCTTAATAAGAGTTATTGCAGGAGTTAGGGATGCACATTTGAGCAGGTCAGACTGGTTAAAACTACAGTAAGACAACATATTAAAACTTTCCTAGTCTCTTCTGCAGCTAATAGGTTGAAGCTGCTAAACTGCATCACTTCTAAGATGTGACAACACTGAAGCGGTTTTGCTCTCAAAACACAAGAAAACCTGCTACTGCAATTAGATTAGGCTTGATCATGCGCCAAAAATCTTCCTGGGGCCCAGTGTATCCCAGGTGTCAATCACATGAGTCAGAGCCTCAACAGCAGGTCTTTAAACTCAGACAAAATGCTCACACCAACGTAAGCAACATCTTTCTAACCCAATCCCAGATACCTCCAATGGAACATGCTAGTATCTTGCCTAATGGCAGAAACACACAAGAGGAACAATTACAGTTAAGTGGTACTTCAACTCTGGACAGAAGGCTCACAAATCCAGTTGTTGCAGTTATCTCTGAAACAGGTCACCTCTACCTACCATGTCTTTAAGACACCTGTGGGGGAAATAATGGATCTTATTCAGAGATCTGAGAAAGCAAAGTATCAGATTATCTTTCCCCTCTGGGTTTAGAGTATTCATTTGTCTTTCAGTTTTGAAGAGTCAAATAGCTAGCTGCCCCTCACTTCAGCAGGTGCAGGTAAGCCCCAAAATTCAATTTTATTCACGACTGGCTTGCAGTGTAACTTAACCATCCAGTTTCAAAGCAAAATACTACCACAACAACCCATTCCTCCATTAGCCTGGTTCTTCCATTTTTTGTTAAGAAGTTGTATTCAGTTTAGTCTACAGTTAATCAACAGAAGGTTTCTATAATACAAAGCCACACTATAAAATTGCTATTTTTAATAAGGCTACTACATCCAAGCTATGGCCTATATTAAACTAAAAATATTAACAAATGCTCAACTCAGAAGAGTATATTTTTTTTGAGCATTTAAGCCTTCATTTTCTACTCTCCCTCCCCTCTTCCCCCTCTCAATTTCTGAGACCACTCCATCCAAGTCACCATTACTCCAGAGGCACTGTACCACTAAAGTTTCCCCAGCCAACAGTGCCCCCAGGACTCTATGCTATATAATACAGAAAAGTTAGTGGACCCTTATGTCTGTCATACCCTCATCTTTCCCCCCTACCCCTCTGGGCTGGATGGAGAAAAGGAAGTAGTGCTGTGCAGGCAACGCTGCCTATCATAACAGAATGGGATACGTCTACATGCAGCAGAACCCTCAGCTCCAGCATGAAATCCAAGGGGCACCAGCTAGTCCTAAGTGCGCCTCATTAACCAAATAAAGTTTTGTATTCAGTCACTTCACATTAAGAAGAAGAGGTACAATTCCAATTTAAGGCAACTGAGGGCAACTCTACACTACACTGATGCAGCTGTGCCATTGTAGCAGGTCTAAAGATATGCTATGCTGACGGGAGAGTGCTCTCCTGTTGGCATAATTATTCCACCTTGGCAAGAAGTGGAAGCTGCAATAGCAGCTGTGTGGACAGTGCAAAAGTCACATTTCTGGGGGCGAAGAGAGCTTTTTCCACTCCTGAGCAATGCAAGTTAGACAGACTCAAGCAGTAGCGGAGGTGAGTTATTTAGTCTAAACGGGATAGTCTCTACTGTTAAAGAGAGCAAATACCTTTATCTGGCCCTCTTTTCCTCTGCCCTGTTGCCCCTTTTTGTAAGGCTCTGCTTGTGCCTCATTACTTTTCTGCTTCCCCTCCCCTCCTAGTTTGTGCCAAGGTTGCTCATATGGGCTCTATACAGCTCTTGTGGCATACATACCAAAGCACCACAATCAAATAGAAGTATGTATATTTGTTTTCACTGTGCTCCTATGACAACATAAGATATGCACTGTGATGAAGAACAGCACAGGCATTCTCCGCTACTGTAGTGGCAGGGACAGAGGAATAGTAAAGTGGTGGAGATTCTGGAACAAATCTTTGCAGATCCAGATAGATCAACAACTCCACTAGCTTCAAGTATCTAAATTAAGCAAGTATGCTTTTGTAAATGTAATCACACATTTCTAGAACAAAATATTTTGTGTGTGTAATATATAAAAAAATAAGATCATTTCCTTCAATCAGTGTCATTGCCAGATATTCAGCTGACATGCTCCTTAAAAAAAAGCCTCTCAAACTTACTGCATCTTTTCATAAAGAAGACTGAATACAGAAGTTAATCCCCAAGATGTGGTCTTAACAATAAAGTAAGTTTGACAGTCCAAGTTCTTAAACCTTTGAGCCTCAAATAATTAAGTTAGCCATCTATATTTCAGTGTCTAATCTCTGCATTTGTCTTGAATTATATGTAGGAAATTAAAATAAAAAAAGGAGAACACTATTTGATGTTGGATAGAAAGGAGGCCCTTCTCCCTTAGTGAAGTTATTTGCAACTATGCAAGAGTACTCAGACTACCTCTTAAAGTAGCATAGATGCCAGTCACTCCAGGGCTATATGTCAGGCTAAGAGGCTGTAACTGGGACCACATTTAGTTATGTAACTAGACTCCAACCCACCCATGTGACTTACAGAGAAGTCTTGATTTGTGTAAGTTGGTAGCAAATATTTGTAGTATTTTTAATGCAATAGTACACAACCTCCAGGATAAGACATCAGACAATGCATATTTAAGCTCCCCTTCCTTGCTCACTACTGTCTGGAAAGAGAGGTATATGTAAACAGAATACAAGTGAACAATTTAAGAGGGATAACACATTAGTCCCTCTATGGAGAGAGCATAGACTCCTCTAGTTTTAAATTTGCTAATTTTTTGTTCAGTCTAGTTTTAAGTATGGCATCTTTAAAAGACTACCAGGATTACATATATATTATATATAAACACACACACACATCCAAGAGTTAACACATTGGTGCAATTGCAATACTTCAAATCATAGATTTTCTATATATCTGTAGTCTGAACTACCTGTTATTTAACTGCATCATGTTCTCTAAGTGAGAGAGGCTGTTCCACTGGAAAAGCTAGTATCACCTAAAAAAATATTAGTCAACTTTCATGACTGGTCAATCGTATGAAGAACCTTCATCATTCTTCCTTAGTAAGCCACCTCTGCAAGTCAGTCCAATGTTGAGAGGGAGCAGGCATCAGCTCACAAAAAGGAGTATATTTGCAAACTGTGCAGAGGTGGACTAGGATAGTTAAGTGTCTCACTAAGATGGAGACACCAACAAGCACTACCACAGGATATCTAACTAACAAAGAAGGAGTTGCTCTTACAAGTGAAATAAGGAGAGTCAGGCATTTTAGTCACCAAAGTGGATCGCAAATGTGACCTAATTTAGATAGCAGCAATCAGACACCTTACAACCTTGTCCGGGAGTTGTGAAAAACATTACTCTCCACCCCCATACCCTCACGGAAAGAGGGCTGGGACAGGGACAGGAAGAACGAGAACTTTCCTCTGCAACAGCCAAGCTCAATGCAGAGAAGAGGTGCAGGAGGAATGAACTTCCCCCAGAAGGAGCTGCCACATCCTGGGGGTGGGGAATAGGACAAGAAGCGAGAACTTTCTTCAGCAGCACCAGCTACACCCTTGTACAGACGGGTAATAGGGAAGGGAAATAAAAATCCACCCAGACTCTCCAGCCTGGGGCGGGGATGATGGGGCGGGGAAGGAAGCGCGGACTCTCCCCAACAGCAGCCACCGTCTCCGCCAACTTGGTCTGCAGCCAAACAAGCCCACAAGAATGCAACGCGGTCACATGACCTCCGGCGGACGTGCAGCTCCCGTCCCTCTCCAGGGAGACCCTACGCCATCTTGTACTGACGCAGTTACAAATACAGGCACAGCTTGGCCCGCTCCCCCCGCTTATCTCCTCGGTCTCGGCACCGCTTGGGTGATGGTTGTCAAGGCCTTCTCGTTCCCTTCCCATGAGCTTGCCTCAGTCTCCGAGCCCTCACGGACTCCCCAGCGCCGGGATCATGGCGCCCGTTTTCTCCCTTTGCACCAGCCTCCCCCGACAGCTCCTCAGCCCTGCCCAGCTGCGGCTGCCCCTACTGCAAGATGATGTCAGCAGCAGCCAATCCGGGCGCGCCTGGGCAGCCGAGCCAGCCTGGCGATTGGCTTCAATGCGGTCCGCTCCCCCCTCCTCTCCCTCCTGACTCAGTCCTCACCGCGGTTCGCTGCGGAGAAATGGCCAAGGCAGAGGTGGGGGAGGGGAAAGAAGGGAAAAAAAAACAACAACAAAACCAAACCCACCAAGGTAGCAGCCGCCATTTCGCGCAACAACAGGCAGAACCCGAGCGAGCAGCCCAACCAAGCGCCCTATGGAGAGAGAAAGAGAGAGATAGAGACACACACACACGAGTTAGACAGGAAAAAATACCCTCAGACTCCGCCAGGGCCACAAGACGTTTAATCACTCCCTCCCCCCATACTCGATGCCTCGTTACAGCCGCCTCCTCTGCATCCAGATCCCTTCCTCTCGACTCCTTCCCGCCGCAGCAGCGGTTCTTTACAGCCCCTCTGTGCCCAAAGTACGGGGAAGGCGAGGCTCTAGCGCCGCTGCTAGCGGCTTCTCCAGACACCCGCTTGTGGCGGCTCCATCGAGGCAAGGTAAAGAGCTGCCAGCCCAGCTTTTATGTGGTGCCCCGAGTTTGCGCACTGACGGAGGCTCGCTCAGCCCCTGGTGGGCGTCGAATGAAACCCCAGCCGCCGCCGCTGCCGCCGCCTCCCCTCCCTCACTCAGCCATCACCGGAGCGGCGGAAGCCAGGCGCGGAATGCGGGGCGGTGTGTGGGCACCACACACAGGGAGGGGATGTGAGGGAAGGGCAGGAGCTCAACATAAACAGCGGGGCTTGCGCCTGCCTCACACACATTTACCTCTTGCTCTGCCCGTGGCGAGTCCACATCAGGGCTGCCCCAGAACTGCCCCCACAAGTGTCATTCGCTAAAGGGGAGCCTGGCAGGCAGAGCTGACCCTAATGCCCCAGTCTCGTTCCTTGGAGGAGGAGGTTCCCCGAGGCAGGCCTGGGCTAAACTTCAGTTACTTGTGGAGAGACTTCCTCTGCCGGACCTGCCTCACGTCTCCACTAACTGGAGGGGGAGATCCCCTCAGCCAGCAACCCTCCATCGTTCACCAAATGGGTTTCAGTCTCTTATCCCCCGCCTCACTCTGCGTGGGGGAGATTGCCTCGGTCTGGCCGCCTCCCCCACAGTCTGTGTGTGTCAGGAGGGCTGGCCCAGGCTCACCAGAGGTCAGAGGGTAGGCTGGCGCAGGTGGTAGGCTGAAGACAGGTTTCGGTGTCTGCGTCCCTGCGGAAGACAAGGTCTCGCTCCGCGCTTTAGGTCCTCCGCAGCATCATTTTGGGCCCGAGCCCCCCCACCGCCAGTGACTCCGCTGCAGGATCGCCCCGAGCCTCCCCCCAGACACAGTTCTCTCGCCCTTGCCGTTCCCTAGGCTGCCCCTTTCTAGCATTTTTCGATCGAGGTCGCGCTCCCTGGCCCCGGCCGTCGAACAATTTAATATCGTGAGGAAACCCCCTTTGTGAAATGGACATAGCACGAGGGAGGACTTAACGGACACAGACTGCGCTCCAGCCCACAAGCAAAATGGCGACCGTTTGGCTTCGCCCTGGTAACCTTGCCCCTGCCGGGCGGGACGGGTAAGCCCCGTGCAGTGGGAGGGAGGGGAGAGCGGAGGACGCCATTTTCCCAGAGAGAGGCAGTGACATAGAGGGAGCGTAGGAGGCTGAGAGGAGGGAGACGGGAGCAGCAGCGGCAGCGGGGTTTGTACACGGGTCCCAAGGCAAAGGCGCTGCCGAGCTGGTCCCTGCAGGGTTCTGAGTACCGAGCCGGTCTGGGGGACCCCTCTGCTCACTCCTCTTTACCAGAGCCAGCTAAGGGCTGCGTCCTGCCCAGGCTAGGGATATCCGCAGTGGGGCCGTTGCATTGTTTTGGTTGGGATAGGAAAGGGACTCAGCTAAGGGGGAGCTGCTGCCTGGCCTGTGATCATTACAGGTGAGTCTCCTTTTATGATTATCATTCCTGCCGAGGGGGAAGGGGGGTTCCTAGTAAGAGTTAAAACGTTAGGGAGGCATCGCTTTACATCTGGGAGGGGTGGGGTGTGAGGTCCGCTCCCCCCTAAACCGTGCATGATTCTGTATAAATTGCTTTGGGTTGTGTTCCATGTTCTATGGGTTGGTTTTAAAATGAAAGGGAGTCGTTATATCTTGTGAATATGGCGGGTTACTGTGACTGGAGGCGCCGAGGGGATTTTTTTTTTTGGCAGTTATGCCGGATTTATGCATTATGATTAAAACCAAACAAACCCAAGAGGGGCTATTATGTGACATACAACATAAATTTCTGTAGACCCAGCGTTTAAGAGCAGGCATTTGTAACAGTATGATTGCGTATTGGGTTGTATGTATGAAGCTTAGGAAATAGTCTCCCTTATCCTGCATATTTTTGTTTTGTGATGCTAAAATGGCTCGTTATAGGCCTAATCTCTCTCCCTTCCACACCCCCATCTCCCTCCCTCTCTCCCTCCCTCCCTCCCTTTTAACATCTCTTCTGTGGTGTAACCTGGTCAAACGGAAAACAGTTCTAAAGAGTTTCTGTGTCAATTTAAAAGGGGATGATTCTCCCCACCCCCTTTGTAGCGACGGTAAGGAGCCTAAGGTATATTTAAAATACTCATCTTCGCCTCCTTGTTTTAGTTTTTATATCTGGTATTCCTGTTTCCTTGTGTGGCACATCTAAATCTTTTTTTTTTTTTAATTAAAAGGCATTAGTGGAGTAGACCCTACTGCTGCAGATGTAGGGGAGAAGAAACAAACGGTCCACTGTGTAGTACTAAATAGGGGAGAAGAAATATAAGTAGTCCGATTAGAAAGGTCCTGTATTCCTCTATATTCAGTCATTTAGGAATGTCCGGTAGTTAAATCCCTGAGGTTCCTAAAATTGTATACACTACATTTGATTAAAGTCGAACTTAAGAATGTTTAGCCTTAGTTTATGTACATCATACTAAAGGGATTAGTAACGAAAAGGCTTTTTTGTTTTTTGAGACCTACCTCAGTGAACTGAAAGAGATGGCTATGACCATAGGTAGGATACCTAAATGCTTGACCATAAACATTGTACTTTTTAAGTTACTTATGGTAAATGTGGAGTAAAAATTGTAATTTCCCTCTTTTGTCCTTTAGAGATTCTAAAAATGGCGGCCCCAGGCTGATGTTGTGGTAATCTAATCAGCTCGGGTCCTCCACACCCCATGCAGTGCGTTTGTCTGCAGCACATTACTGGCTTGTTATGTTTAAATGAAAGGCTGTTTTCTTCAAATCATGTACAAAACATGTCTTGATTTTCTATGAATAAAATGCTGTATCCCAGCTGATTAATTTTACTGGTTATGTGTGTGAAAGGCAAACGAACGAGACCACTCTCATCGGTGGGGGTGGGGGAGACGATGGACTCAAGTAGCTTCTTGGGGGGTGTGTTTGTATCTTGTGTGATGTGATATGCATGCCATATTAATCTCTTCACTTTTGTTTTAATAATGTTTTGGAATAATTCCTATATCTATGCTAGTTAATCTAGATATGTATCGCAATACATCTGTTACTAACACAAGGACCAGTAATACTTATAAAAAAAGACAAAAGATTAAAATAATCCTAACTAAATTCTTAGTCATTGCTTTTGTGAATGTCAGGTTAATCTTTGACAGAATACTTTTTTTTACTGGAGATGGTGGTGGTAGTTTGGGAATACTAGTTTAACATTTTGATGTTACTGTTCAAGGAATTATCCAGACAAGATTAAAACCTGTTACTTTGCTTCTTCAGATGTAAGGCTTTCTTGCCCATGTGTAATTTTTCAGCATACAAATCTTTTTTTGTTGTTAACTCATTAAATATATATAATGTAAAGTGTAAAAACTCTCATACTGTACATAAACATTTAAGTGAAACTACAATACCTAGTCTTTCTTTCTTCCTGTCCCAAATGACATATGAACCTTTTAGTATCATCATAAAGAAGATGGGGGAGGGGAGGTGGAGAAGCAAGGAAGCATTCTTTTAGTAGTTGATATATTGAATGCAAAATTGAAAGCCACAAATCTCAGGAAACTTGTCATGTTTTTAGTATGTTAAACTAAAATTACAAAAGGTAAATAGAAATTTGTAAATTCAAACTCCTGCTGTCTCTACTTTAATGAGATGCAAGTTCCCATTTTAGTATATTACTGGAACCTTCTGGATTTTAAGAGCCAAATGTGAAATACTATTCCAGTAGCAAACCATTTTTCAGTGCATGAATAATTTTAACTTTACGAATTACTTTGCACTGCTATGGAAGAATAGATAATTTGTTCTTTATATCTGTATCAGCTAAGCAATAAGAGTTTGAAGGTAACAAGCATTAACAGCACTGCAAGGCATACCTTGTGTGTGGTGAGGCCAAAGGCTTGAGTGACTTAAACCACACGAGTAGTGCATTAATAGGACAGGGCATGCATTACTGGTCCAACATATTGCTATAATATGAATTTTTAAAATTTAAATCCATATATTATTTCACTCAGTTATATATTTTTAATAATTTGTGGATGGCTAAAGGGTCTGTGGTAAACTTATGGGGTTTTCTTGATTAGAATTCTGGTAATTTCCATAGGTTTCTGTTTTTGATTCTGTTGTCTACGTTTCTAATGCTAATAGGATTTGTGTGCAAATATCAAGAAGCAAAGGGGTATATCTTGCCCCTTTAGGTGGTAATTTCAATATGACTGGGGTCACAAAAGCAGAATCTGAGGTATACGCTGCAACACTTGGTTTAAAACAAACAATATCCTATACCTTAAAGGTGATATGAAAATCGTCTGTTGTCTAAGTAACATCTTTACCACTAGACTTCCTTGGGAATCAGAAGGTCTTTCTTGGTGACCTTGTGTGAGTCACTTTACCTTTTTCTGTTTCTCCATCTGTAAAATGGGGTTGGTAATACTTCACCTCACAAGGTGCTTTAAGGCTAAATTCATTAATGTTTTTGAGGAGCTTGGATATTTATTATGAGGATGATTAACACAGTAAAATCTATAAATAAATCCAGCAAATTTTAAATTTAAAAAATTGTCCATGAGACTTAGTTTGAAATCTCAACATTTCTGACACTCTGTTTTAAGGTCCAATGTACCAATGTGTTTCCAAATGTCAGACTTAATATCTGGGTAGTCCCTCAGTAATCTGGACTCCAAGTACTAAAACCATCTATATATTTTTGGTCATCTGCATTTGGAATGACTTTAGTGATCTGGGAAATACCTTAGGATACCACGGTATGCATCCGATGAAGTGAGCTGTAGCTCACGAAAGCTCATGCTAAAATAAATTGGTGAGTCTCTAAGGTGCCACAAGTACTCCTTTTCTTTTTGCGAAGACAGACTAACACGGCTGTTACTCTGAAACCAGAGAAAAATATTGGGGATGGTAAATACTTTTTTAGCATATTTGCATGAGAGTACTAGGACTCAGATTATTTCTCTGGATTAGATTTCTGTGGTTTAGTTTTCCTGTGTGTATAATTGGTTTAATATTTTGTTGAGGATTGATTGATGTTTATTAAGTACTTTGATAGCCTCTTATTTGTTAAACTAAACTTTCATTGGAATCTTACTGGCAATTTTTTTTATTAAAAGGTACATTGTTTTTAGTTGGGACTTTGAGAAACAGCAAGAATATAGAAATTGATTTCAAAATTTTAGATTCCTTAAAGGTCTGCAGGATTATCCTTAGAGCCCCAGTCCCCAAGGACTTAAGCACATGCTTAACTTTGTCTAATATGACTTCAGTAGGATTAATTGAAGAGCATAAAGCAGTGGTGGGCAATCTGTGGTCCATGGGCCACATGCGGCCCATTAGGGTAATCCCCTGGCAGACCGCGAAACAGTTTGTTTACATTGACTGTCCGCAGGCACGGCCACTCGCAGCTTCCAGTGGCCACGGTTCACCATTCCCGGTCAATGGGAGCTGCGGGAAGCGACGCAAGCCATGAGGATATGCTGGCTTCCTGATTTCTGTGACATCAACACATTTATTTATATTTGTTTATAAATCTCTCAAAAGCAAATTCCGTTGGGACTGTGACCCAGGAACAGGTAGTGCATTTAAACAAACCACGATACAGATACAGTAAGTCAGAATTGATATTAGGATTGAAAGTATATCTTCAGTTTTATAGGGATGTCCTACCTATGTGGCCTTCAGTTGAATTCTGAATACATCTCTTAAGAATCTGTATTTATGTTTTCCATAGTTTGAAAGCTAAAACTTTAACTTCACTGAGAAGCAGGTTTCTCTCTAATTACAATTATTTATGTATTATTTTGTTTCTATTCTTATCAGACACAAACTAAAAATTTAAACAAAAGTTAATCCTGCCTCCTAAAATAACATTTAATTGTCTCTTGCACAAGATTTTGGACCCTCTTCATACTACAAAGGAAGAAATTGTAATTTTGCTGTAATTTCCCAAGATGAAACTCTGCTAATGCTGTCTTTGTAGTCTTGTTAAAATGGAGTATAGCAACAGTTTCTAAAAAACGTATATGTAAATGCTGCTGGACTTTTGTATATTAGCCACAAGAAATTTGTGAGATCACTGAGATTTTTCTTTCAAATTTCATAAAGATTGTTGTGCTGGTAGACAATTACTCAGATAAATTTATAGAACTGTCCATAAAGATGAACTTTTACTATTATATAATACATTTTAAGGATCACTGTGAGCCTTAAGTAGAGACTGCAGTTTATTCTACTAAATGATAACTTATTATTTGTCAGATATCTGGTTACTTTACTGTTTCTCTTTATTTAATTAAGCCTCACTGCCAAAATATCAATGCCTTGGATCCCTTTATTCAAAGGACTAGGAATATTTTAAATAGCTCAAGTTTGTAAGGTGTTCCAACATATTAACTTTTTTTTCCTTAAAATTTTCTAACTTAACAAGTTTTA